CATCAAAGTTGCTGAAAGTTTTCTTAGCTAAGAAAGCCTTATGGAGGCGGAGCAGGTAGCAGTCGTAGGGGACTACGTCAGGAGAATATTATGAGCGGGGACTGGTCTTCCAGCCTTGCTCCTCAATTATTTGGTAGGTCTTCATAGCAGGTATGGGGTCTCGTGTGCTACGAACGAGGTGACCCGAAGCTAGTCTCGGTCATTTTTCTCCAACAATTTTCACTCGTTTCGGGAGCTGAGCGACACAAATGGTGGCGGTGACCGTCTGTTCTTATGGGGCAGCTCGTTCTGCAGCACCTCCTCGCGTCCCAGGAGCAGCACAGGAGAACCTTTTCGGAATACATGCCCGGTTTGGACTGCTAGAATGGATCTTCTCCTTGAGAGAGACAAACGGTACTGTGTGGGTTGAAATCATAGAGGACCCATCTCTCATCCCCACTAAGCAGTCTCCCGGAAACTCCTTCTGACGAGGGCAGAGAAGGGGAGACTGACCAAGGGGTACCCGGGTGCACAGCGTGCCATCGGTCAAGGTATGAATGATCCATCAAGCCAGTACTTCTTGGTAGTCAAAGGCTTACAGGCGGTGGACGACTGTCAGTTAGGTACATCCGAGTCTTGTCGCAAGACTGCGGGTGGTAGCCTCTGGATCCCCCTTGTCTGCTTCGAGAATGGTGGAGTCTTATACTTCTTGGGGCCGTCCCAACCGAGGTTTGTCTTCAAGGGTCGTGTCTCCTTTCGCGAAGCGAGCGAACCAAAGATGGACAGTCATGATGGTAGTGGTGTCCTCCGCCAATGCACTGCTGATGTTGCGGACAGCTGCCGTGGCTCCAGTGCCGCGGGGCCACTGATAGAAGATGATGACCCGAAGATACTCCTGTGAAACTGACATCGTAATTAAACCCAGGGAAGAGCAGGCGCCCTCACACGCCTCTTGCAGGAAAGCTCCCAGAGTGTCCTACAAGCATAGCATGTTACGTCATGTACGAGCATCGAGAATCAAAAACTGTAAGCTTTTCAAAACACTGACAGGACTTCCCTTCCAACCTATATATCCGCACAGGTATGGATGCAGAGCGGCGAGAGCCAGAGAGACGAGGGGCACCAGTAGGGAAAACGGCAGAGTGGAGGTTTACAAGGGGATATCTCCCCTCGAGGGGAAGTATAGCATACGGCCCCTGGTCGTGCGACACTTATGTCTGCAGTTTGCCGGTGTGTGGGGTCCAGCATGGTTTCCTGCTGTCACTATCCTCCAGAATCATTTCGGCCACTTTAGGACGAACTTTTACAGCTGGTTCTCCTTGCTCATGGCAAGGACCAGAATTATTGAAGGTGAGAATTCAGCGTATCTTCGAGAGTACACGCTCCACACCACAAGGGAGATTGAAAAAGGCTGCCTGCAAATAACTTCCAATATAACTCACCTCTTCAGGCTCAGAGTTCCCGATGGATTGATGGGAATAATTAATATCTACAGACGACCGATCGTGTTCCAACTTCACATCTCGCATTTCATCAGCACAGAATCCTTAGAGAGTTCCTCGGTCTTTTTAGAGTGCTATTTCTGGAATACCGAAACATAATTAATTCAAAGTAAACAGAAAAACTTAATTTCGCAGAATCGAGAGCTCCAACGGTATGTATCGATAAACGAAGTAAAGTCCTGCTTCAATGGGAGAGCAAGAAAAAGTTACCAGATCTTCAGATCAGACAGAAGCTTTTGTTTAAAAAAAAACAAAATATGATATCTGAGCCGAGTATTCGTAAGGTCTCAAAGAGAAAGGGCGAAGCGAAGAATTTCTTGATGGAGCAGCAGGTTTCTTAGTTTTTTTGAGTATTCCTATCTTTTAATTGGTACTCATACAATTCTCATTCAAAATAGATTATTTCCATAGATAAGAACGAACAAAAGACGCAACAGGGAAGCGAGGACAAACTTTTGCAGCGTTCGAGGCAGGAGCGCGTTCCATACAAGGGTGCTCCTTATGACACAGAACATAGGGTATTAGAAAACTATAAGAGGCGTGTCACTTTGTTACGGCAAATAATCTCAGCTAGTAAAGGGCAAATTGAGAAAGAAGAGAAAGAACATGCAGAAAGTAAGAACAAGAGAACGGTTAATGCATTCCATATTAATTGATAGGAATCAGGTATGGGATCTTCTTTGTGACAGAACCAGGTTGTTTGGCGCAGTTTGCAATGGGAGGGCATTTTGCACTTTCGTTGCTTCCCACTGCGTCGAGCTATTGAGTAGAGATGTGTGAAATTTTGTGAAGCCGTGAAGTAATAATACCAGTCTAAGTTTGTATAGAATACCTGTCAACTCCTATAAAAGAATGAACACGACAATGAGAAGTAGTGAAAACGCAAAATGCCCCCCCCCCTAACAAACAACAACAGAACTGCGCCGGTTGTTTCTCCCCTATTCATTTACTTATTTATTTATCTGATGCGCCCGTTGCAGGTGCGCTGCTGTAACAGGCAAAAAATACTCGAGTAAACTATACAGAAAGCATATTAAAGGCATAGAGAAAGTAATGGAACCGCATTGCATAACCAAAATGTGATAAAAAGATGTTTTTTTGTCAGAAAAGAGTGAAAAAGGTGCACATTTTGATCATACCCAATGTCGACAAAAATTATCGGCATTGTTCAACTATTACTACCCCGATTTTCCGGAAAACAGGCCTCTTGATCAACTTTTTCCTACGGGAGCAGATCTGGCTGAAATTTGAGTTCTAGGAGGAATTCGACCCCCTGAACACGAGTATCACATCCGCTCTCCCGAGACTGCCTGGC